ATTTACGTGCAGCATCATGAAGTATATGGCGATGAATGATTGAATTTGTCTAAGTCATATTGTTATAATTCTTTCAAAACATAGTAAAACTAATTAATCTAAAGCACATAGTTTGTTTGTTCTACATTAACAGCATATGAAAAATATGATGTGATATAAACACTAGTTGAGTCCTGATCACTGTGTACATGGTTACCGACACGTCACATCTAATGTTGCTCAAAATATAATTAAATGTTTCTCGTCGCACTATTTATATTTGTAAATACGTATAACTCTTATGACGTGCACGGACCTGGGGACAATTCGGGAAATACGGGGTAATCTCAGCTTTAAGCGTTAATATCTGCCTTATTTAAAAAGCTAACTATGTGCATTATATATCATTTTGAAGTATTTTTTATTCGCATTTCACTGAAATTATTTTTCCATGGAAAGTGTGATAGGATCTACCATATTTTTGAAGTTAAATGTACTCCGACATCGTCAAATACGATGTAAGAAGTAACATTTCACGCTTGCACGGTTCGTTGAAATCGGGATAACTTTTGTAATACTGATCAGAATTTTACTAAAATTTCACATTTTATTCATTGAAACATGTGCTTTTATGACGTACGTCACAATTGCCTAGCGGCTACAGTTCAAATCGTCTTATATGAACGCTTTTAAGATTTTCAAAATTGTGTAAGGTTTTGAAGGCGAAGGAGACAACCAATAAGTTTACCTTTATTTAACCTTCTAATTTAGGTCTGATTTCAAAAAAAATTTAACTGCATAACATTGTTATGGCGAAATTTACAAAACAATAACCGATTTCTTTATTTTTCAAATAATAAGAGAATAAGAGTTGCTTTAAGAGACTTGAAAAAATGTAACGCATCGATTTTTTACCACAAATCCCATACATATCAATTTTTACTAACGCCCCGAGTGGACTTCCTGACCGTTTTTCAAAAATCAAAAACATTTTAGAAATATTGTCCTCGAGATCTTGTTGCTCTGTTAATTTTACCAGGATTGAATAAGAATAAAGCATCTTATTGTTAGGTTGACTAAACTTGACAAAATGTAACGCTTGTCGTTTTTGACGTTATAATGCTGATTGCGCCCTATATGCCCATTGTATTGTTTTGGTATTTTGACGCCATAATGTTACTCTAATTGTCCCCAGTTCCGTGCGACGTGTATCTGTATTTATGTTTAATAAATTCAAAAATGACTTTTGTTCGTTTTATTACTTCGTAAAATTGTATATTCTCTTATCTGTAAAACGTTTTAGATTATCCTTTTTATTGGCACGACTTTCGTCCTAGTTGTTATCACTTTTGCTTTCGTATGAGCTTCGTCTAGTTATATTTTCTTTGCCTTTTTTACATTTTTTATATATGAATTGTTAATTCGTCATGCTAAAATGTTTGATAAGAGATATCTTAACATCCGAGAATTTTTAAAACCGAGTGCAACTGGCCCATTGGCAACACAATCAATGCCCAATGTCGGGAAGAGTGGAATAATGAGTGTCAAGGGGCGTGTCCCCAGGCGTGTTATATGTCGCCAGTTGAGTCCCCAGGGTTGAGACAAAATGCTGTATAGGTTATGTACGGCGACTGATCGTCGCTAATGAAGGCGTTATGAAGGTATGTACTTAGAATTATTATTAAAATGAAAAACATACTGGCAAGTTACGTCTGTGAGTCCTTCACAATAGAGTGCCGCTTGAGACTGCAAAAAAGCCGAACAATCAGAATGCCTGATTTATCAGTATGTCCTATAAGCGCATACTCTTTGATTCTCGAGAAACGTCTCCACGCTCGAATTTCACCTATCTATCACTAGTGGATCGCTTTAAAAGTGATACCATCGAGAAACGTGTTTGGTCAGCTTCACGATGACATTATTCTTTTAGAAATCGACAGAGAAATAGAGAAGAAAAAGATCGAGTATGTGCCATTTCTAAAACTGGCGTCGAGTTTGAAAACCTAAAAGTGGATTCGGACTGCAAGAAATCCGACCAATCAGAAAGCAGCATTTCTTAAGTGAAACTTGGAATTCAAGCAATCGGCTTTATCCTCGATTCCCTCCGTTTTCTCGCAGTTCATCACCACAAAAATGGCACCACATGGAAGACATCGTTCCTATCTAAACCATGGTATTATTTATTTAGAAATCAGTCAATAAACAGCGGGGCCATAAACAAATAAATGCAATTTCTTAAACAGGCAGTTTAGACTGAGAATAGTGGATTCAGACTGCAAAAACTTAATGCAAATTAGCTAGTTCACTCTGGGTTAGTACGTCGCATATCTAGGTTAGTAGGTTAGTTCTGTCAAGGCCGCGCGTATATCGCTATATAGCCTAAACAGAATGTCTCGGTCCGCTCGACTGCATTATTCCGACTGAAAAACTGGTAATGACGAGATTGGAGAATCATGTCTGGCTATAGTAAAGGTACTAAACATGAAACATTCGCGCACGGGAATCCACCTCATCGTATTCGTATCCACTGTACTTTTCTAGAATCAAAATATTTAGGAAAAGTTCATGAAAAGATGTTCTATCATTCAAATTAGAAGAGTTGTTGAAAAATTAGAAGAAGAATTCATCAATGTAAATTGATGTTAACGCCCATATGGTAATTTTGTTATGCAAAATATTTCTTATCACCAATATTGAAGGAAATAAAAGAAATGCAATATAGCTTACAATACATGTATAAGGTACTTTAAAACAAGATATTGAGACTAAGGCTTTCTGATTTAAATATTAACTGGTGATTACAAACGTTTGATGATCACCATTACTTAGTGAATTGCCAAAGTGCGCTATCGGCGATCGGCGGAGCTTCTGTTTGCACATCATGAAAAATCAAAATAAAGAAGGTCCATAATAATGGGCAATACTTACCTGAAGATAAAAAAGACGATATGATTCAATGATATGATTTGACACAACGCAGTGGCGTAGCTACGTGTACGCCAAGTACGCCCAGGCGTACTCTCAAATTTTAATGAAAAATAAAATTTACCTGATTAATTGTGATGAAAAGTAAACATCCCAGCAACTCTTATTGACACTATTCAACAGACCCCCCAGCCTCTTTACCCCGATGTCTACACGTGTTTGGCCCAGCTGCTAACATTGCCAGTATCCACTTGCGTGGCTGAACGAAGCTTTAGCAGTTTGAAACGCATTAAGTCATACTTGCGTTCCACAATGAACGAGGAAAGACTTTCTTCCTTGCCCATGATACATATCCATAGGGAACAGGATATAAACATTGATACTGTTATTGACATGTTCGCAAATGCAAAAAACAGAAAGATAGAATTTATTCTATAGAATCACGTACAGATTGTTAAGATCCGAAATGGAGTTGAGATGGTCGTGTTACTGTTCTTTTATTGTTAATTATCTTGTGAGCTAGATAAAAACAAACACAGAAAAAATAACTTGGAGAATGACCACAAAAGCTTAAAACAATGAGCCTCATACATACAGTTTTAGGTAGCCTAAAAAATAAAATCGCCTTGATAGATGGCTTCGATCGCCGATGGCATGATTATATAGAATCTGTCTATTTTGTTTCCCGAATATTATCTGTTAATACAGTTAATTCAATCCCTTTAAAAATCTATGTCAAAATGATCAAACTATACATATTTCCTTCATTGAATTAAGAGTGTTTAGTGTGTCCCCTATCTTCTGAACACCCGGGATCTTCCTATTTTATGGAACCATCGTTTTGTTAATTTTGATAAAACCGGGAAATCATACGGGGCGTACACTCGTAAAATGGGCTAGCTACGCCTCTGCAACGTATACGTAATTAAATCTCGGCACATGAAAAAAAACAAAAGTTTCCTTTTACTTACTTCAATACTTAAAATAGCAGGTAGATGGGGCGATAATTTAATCACGGACCGTGATTTAATCAATAGTTAGTTAATTTGCGATCGGCCGCCGTTGATTTAGCATGTTATTTACGGTCTTTGTACTCGGCCTATACGACGTCCTTGATTCTCAAAGACTGTGGGACGCTTAACTTTAGTGGTAGTAATTCATACCGTTTGACTTATATTCCAAATCAACTAACTACATTTGATTTAGCAAGGCTAAACCCCATTGTCCTGGGAATTGTCTTTATCTTTGTCGGATCATTCAGGTGAGAAATTTATGACGTAATTCAATTGTTCTCTCCGCCAACGGATGGAATTGGATGCTGATATTTTCTCAAAATACAAGGTACTTTGACTGAATACCCTGACTACAATTTTTGTAATCTTTTTACAAAAAACTAACATAAGCATAATCATATTCCAAATAAAGAAATGTTGGAATTTAAAAAAAATCTATCGAGCCGTTTTTCTGTAGATTGAGATCTCCCGAGGGTAAAGTTAGTGTATGGTTTTCCCATAGGATTACATGTTAAATATGACAATTTAATCAGTATAGGCTCCTCAAAAATACGATCTTTGAACCTTGCTTACTGTATCTAAACTTATTTTTTTCTGTTTAAAATTTCTACAGCATATGTACACCATTTGTTTAAATACACTGTGCGATTTTCAGGAAAATCTATCGAGGATTATTTTTGGCTGACGGACCAGGTCCCACCTTAAAAGCATACATCAGTTAATAGGAAAATATGTAATGTAAAGCTTCCAAAGTTAACTAAAGGTTGCAATATTTATGTTTCACACCAACAATGGTCCAACATGTATGAACATCTACAGGTCTTTAATTTATTTATTATCTATTCTAAAATCTTATTCATTTAATATAAATTTAGGCTAAAAGGTACCCTTGTTAAAACAATTATAACCTAGGAGTAATGTGCATGTAGAATATATTTCTCCTACAATGCGGGTTCAAGTCCCATTTGCCCATCCTGTAGTCTTATGAATATGATGACCTCTGACAGTTTATGATTTCCTATCATCATAATATTATCCTTTGTAAGAATGAGATATTATGGTGAATATCAGATTGTTACAAACCTGTATTTGACTCTAACAATTCCCCTCCTTGCTTCAACATCATATTTCAACAGATCCAGTGTTTGTAAACTTCCACCTGCCTATAAAAAATACAATATAAAATAAGGCAATTGTAAATTCTGAAGTCATATTCCACTATTCAGTGATAGAGAACGTCAAATGTGCAATACAGTTAGAGCTGCTAAATTAACTTATCCATGGCAATTTTATGTAGTCACAGTGACTCAATTTTTACTTCAGCATCTCTTTAACACACTTTTCTAACAGTTAGACAAGGATCCTGATATCACAAAAAGTCCACTAAATGCAAGAATTTCTAAACTCAAATAAGCAATGAAAATATGAGATTTAAATATGTTTCAGCCACCTATCTATTGGTTCCAGGCCTGTAGTAGGGATCCCGGGGTAAGGATTTGCCAGGGGGGCGCTCAATTTTCAATAAATGTCAGGGGCTTCACTTTTGGTAACTTTGGCCCAAAATGGCCAAAAATCACTTGAAAATTACTTAGAATGAAGAAAACTTCATGATTTTGAAAGAGTTTTAAGCCAAGGGGGAGTTCAGCTCATGAGACTGGTTAGCCATTAACTTTGGATCAGATACAATTTTATTTAACTTACAGTTCCAAAGATATTCTTCAAGGCTTGTAGGATGACTGTCTTAAATCTGCCAGCAGGTAAAGTCACACCTCCATTCTGAATGTCACTGCAATTTGAAATTTACAACATGTTACACAATCAGTCAGACACATGACATAATTAGTAGAAATACAAATACAATTCACAACAATAATACTGAACAATCAGCAACAATACGGAACCAATTAGTAACAATACATAATCAGTAAAATTACACAACTGGACAGCAATATGCATATCATTAGACAATCAGTAACAAAAAAAGGACAACCATATCAAAATCTTATAAAAGAGTGTATGATTTGTACATTATTAAGAAATACAAATACAATTAACAGCAACAATAAAGAACAATCAGCAACAATACCGAACCAATTAGTAACATACAGTACATAATCAGCAAAATTATACAACTGGACATCAACATATCATCAGACAATCAGTAACAACTTATGAACAACCAAATACTGTAATAAAAATATTGTAAAAAAGAGTTTGATGTACAGGGTGAGCCAAAAAAGGTAATCCAAAGAAATCTTAATAACACAGTCATCCAGAGTTTTTTAGTCATATTTTGCACAATCGGACCTTGTTCAATGTTCTTTTATTCTACTAAGCTTGATTGGTCTATTTCCAAAAGTCACTATTGCATGGTCATTTTATAACGGTTTAGTTTTGGTTACCTTTTTTGGCTTACCCTGTATATGTACATTATCATGACTGAACCATTTAGCTGCTGTCAAAAAAATTTGAGAGTTTTCAGATGGTTTTGATGTAAAATGTAGCGATACCTAATATAAAGGAAGGACACATCTGCAAAACATGGTGGATGATTCCGTGAGAGCCAAAGATTCAATATTCTAGCTTTCAAAAGATCAAATTAAATGAATACTACAACCAATATTCACCAAGAACACATCATACATTGTACCACGTGTTGAGAATGGGGAGTGATTTTTCACTCATTTAAAACAGCAATGGCTTTCATTTTGTGATGATACAATGATCTCCCCAGGATTTTTTCTCAGGTGGGTGCAAAATTCTCATTTTCACAGTTCGGACCAAAATTGGTCAAAATATGCCAATTTTTCATGATTTTTCTCATTTAAAAGAGGGTGCAAATGGATTTTCAGGTGGGTGCAAGCCTTGCTTTAATGCTAGGGAGATCACTGTGATATTACTTATATTTTTCACTGTATATGTTACATGTTATGCAACATGTATTTTATTTTTCACAGATCAGTAAAATGTATTTCTTGTACTATAATCCTGATTCTTCAGTGCTTTCTGGTAACTGTTCCATTTGACATTTTTATTGTACATAATACACATGTTCAAAGTGTTAGGCTAACTTACTAAGAGACATCAAGGTAGTAATAGGGTAATGGGCCTTTATTTATGATGCGGGTGTATGTTGGTAGCCTTGATCCTTCTAAAGATTCTGTACCATGGGTAGATCCATTCTCCATTGTGAATTTATCCTAAAAAGTAAAATGTAAATCATGTAAATAAAATTCCCAACTGTCTGTATACTGTATATACCACAGTACCACTGGTGGATCCAGGGGAGGGGCCCCTGGGGCCTAGGCCCTTTCAACCGAACCCTCCATCGTCATCAATAGCCGTCTGTCTTTAATAACGACAGGGGGTGTTCGCTAATATTTGTTTTATGAAAGAAATAAAAATTAAAGCAATTAAATGCAGTGATAAAAATGCACTGGCTCCAAAAAAGATTAAATAATGGCAGATGTAGACAGATGGATGAACTTACATTACATACGAAGATCAATGGAGGTATATTAATTATATTTTTCACTTGAAGAATACCAATTGTTCAACAGAGGTAGCATAAAGATTAAGAAAACTAATAGGGTTTCATGATCAATACGACCTAAGCAGTGATAACTATAGCTATGATCAGCGTAAGGCCATGTTTACCATGCTTAGAATAAGATAAGCAAAATATATTGTATTAGGAAATCAGAAAATTTCAATTTGAAGTTTATTTTCTCTGTGCTCTGGCATTAATCTGGTAATATTTAGGGATGCTTTCGGAATGCTCAAACAAGCCTCCCCCTACAGTAAAATTTTAAATGTTTGGAACTACGTTGAACTTAACAAATCAAATGACTATATTGCAACAGTATATAAAAAAAATAGAAACATATTTACTAACTTTTGTATATTTCAGATAGTTATGTATAATGTGCAGCAAAGCTGTGGCCTTTTGTAATCTAGGGAGTTTCAGCCATGTTAATTTTTCCGAAAATAACATGGCAGAGAACCATCAAAATATAAGAGGGCACAGATAAAGACGGAGACATTAATAAACTTCAACCATCAAAAGTTGTCACATTGAGCTAAATTCTAAGTTTCATGTCTCAAACTCTCCCAAGCGGTAGAAAAATAATTCCTGTTCACTCTAAGTAGCACAATAAATGAATCCAAAGCTTCATACCTGCAAATGATAGATAAATTCCTACCAAATCGAACGAATGTTTTCATGGATCGCCATGTTTGTGATCCAAGGAGGATTGACTCCCGGAAAGCAACGTCAGTTAACCGTATTTACTCGTGACAGGTTTCAAAATGGCAGAACAGCATTTTGAAAGCTGACACGCATCATGTTGCATTCTGGGAGTCAATCCTCCTTGCGGCGTAATCGGGCTCTAAAATCATCTCAACATTTGAAGAGTCAGCATTGACATGTGAATATCACTTCAAATTTTAAAGTCCTATTTGTCATTATGGACACACATTCCACTATATTTGTGCATTACGGGACGGAGAAAATAGAGCACTCAATTCACTGAGGTAAGATTTATGACATATGTGACAGAATGTCTTTTTCATAGTGTTAGAGTCCATTTCACTGCTTCATTTCGTCAGTAGAACGGCAAATATAAGACATTGGGAGACCATTGTGCAATAATATATGGAAAAGTATATTCATAATGTACATGAATGACATTTGTATATCTTGGATTACTTCTAGTTTGGCTTATAAAGTGTGTGGCCTCTTATATTTGGATATTTCTCTGCCATGTTATTTTCAATAAGATTAACATGGCTGAAATTCTTCAAATTACAAGACAGCACAACCTTATTGCACAAAAAACTAAAAAATCTGAAATATACATATGTCATTCATGTACATTATGAATATACTTTTCCATATATTATTGCACAATGATCTCCCAATTTCTTATTTTTGCCGTTCTACTGACGAAATGAAGCAATGAAATGGACTCTAGTCATTATTTATGTACACCACTTTATGATAGAAAGTATACAAAAGTTAGGACATGTATGAATGTTTCTATTCTTACATTAGTGTTTCAATATGGTCCTTTGCTTATTTTTTAAATTTAAAGTAGTTCCAAACATTTAAAATTTTACTGTAGAGTCAATACGTCCAAATCCAAACAGGGGGGTAAACACGAACGGGTTCCAAATAATGGCAAGCAGATCATTGAATTGAATAATAGTACCTCTACATAATATTTATAGCCTGAAAGATACAATATAATGATGTATACCAACAATCTTACAATAAAATAATCAATTATGATGATTTAGGTGTTTGGAATTACCCCCATGCTAGTGTTTGGAATTACCGCCACAAACTCTGTGCGTTTAAATAAATAGATGTCAGTAATAAATGATTTAAATTTGGGTTTCTTGATATGCAGGGGTGACAGGATCCAGTATCATAAGTTAAGGGTATCATATAATGATATACCATCAATCTAATAATTAAAACAATTAAGTTTACACTCTGTTAAGCATGATAAAAGGCAAGAAGTTTAGTTAGAAATAAAAGAGTTATCTCATGAATGGGACCGTTACATAGCTCCTAAAAGGTAGAAGACACTAAATGGTGTAACACTATAAGCTGAATTTTGTCCACATAGAGCATGTGCACAATACTAAAGACATGTAAAATTGAACTGTCAAAAGAACTGAAATATACTTACCAGCTCGCCTCTTCCGGAAGTCATGATACGTTATGGTGTAACTACGGTAATTAATTTTAAAATATTGAAAAAATCACAAAATACAAGTTCTGAGGTATATATCGCCATTTTTAAGCGAATTAGCCCATACTATGACTATATATTCGCACCCCCATATACAGATATATATAAACTTCATCTTCACAATAGATTGAGCTTCTTTCAAATTTCCATTTTTTGAGATAAGTGCCATTTTCTTACAATTCAAGCCGTAAAAATAGTTGGAAAGTGCTTCCCAGTTGAGGTTAATGGCTTTTATACTTACATTAATGTATGGAGCACTTAAAATGTACTTAGAATCGTATAAATAGCTCTATTCTGTGAGATTTATTTTTGTTTTTATTTTTATATTTTTCTCACCTCATAATTGAAGAGCTCCGCTGTTGATTTACATTCAGTTACACGTATTTCCTTGAAAATTCGCCATGATTGGAACAAATGATGGTTGGTTTATGTTTTATTCATTTAGTTTGTATTTGAATCTAGCTACTTAAACACAAAACATGTCTTCGTGTTATGCTAAAGAGCAAAGATCGCGAATTCTAGGTGAAGGCAATTATTTTGCACAAGTCATATCCTGATTGCATCATAGTTTTTGTACTAGTCACATCCTGATTGCATCAGCCAATTCACGTGATTTACAGTTTACACATGGTTTCAATATACATGTTATACTACTTCCGGGTAGGGTAGTGTTTTTTATACTTTAAAAACGAAGCCATTTCGATCAGTTTTTATAATCCTTGGTAGAACTGAGAGGTATTACAATACATATTTAAATTAATACACATGAGTGTATTTGATGAACTCTCAAAAAATAAAACCCACAATAATATATTTTTTATTCACAATTTCATGTCATTGTTTCTAACAAGTCACCTCTTTCTCTCTTTTCTTTATTTTTGTCAACAGTCAAAATCGGAATTTAAGACTTGGTTTCTTTACAAGCTCTGCTTCTGTAAATACTAAATAACATGAAAAATGTTAAACCTTACATCCTACACTTATTTGATATGAAATAGGCGATCATTGATATCATTTTTGTGCTGTTAAGTGTGGATCTTTTAATTTTTTAGTCAAACTTGATCGCTGATCTCTGTCGATGTGACGTCACGCATTAAGTATGCACGCATGGGCAGTACAATGGTACCAGTACAATACATAAGGCAATATGGCGTCTTAGGCCTATACATGAGCCAGAATGGAGGTCTGCAAGTTGAAATGAATATGTTTGTTTATGCATCAATCGATCACACATATAATCCAGACAATCTTTCAAATCATATACTTAACATTGTAATGGATTTATTTATTTTGTGAGCTAACGTTCCCTTTAATTTTCATTGGTGAAGCAATGATTTTACCTAAAATGAGTCCCTGTCTTTGCATAGTGATATTTAAAAATCGAGAAGCAAAACCTATGTTGAATATACTGTGTATTGATGAAGTTTATATATAGCCTAGGGGAACTCAAAAATATTGTTATTATATGGGCAAATTCGCTCGAAAATGGTTGTACACCCTAGAAATTGAATGTTGTTGATTTTTTCAATATTTTAAAATTAATTACCGTAGTTACACCATAACGTATCATAACTTCCGGTAGAGGCGAGCTGGTGAGTAATTTCTATTATTTTGACAGTTCAATTTTACATGTCTTTAGTATTGTGCACATGCTCTATGTGGACAAAATTCAGCTTATAGTGTTACACCATTTAGTGTCTTCTACCTTTTAGGAGCCATGTAAGGGTCCCATTCATGAGATAACTCTTTTATTTCTAACTAAACTTCTTGCCTTTTATCATGCTTAACAGAGTGTAAGTTAAGTGTTTGGAATCACCCCCATGCAAGTGTTCGGATTTACCCCCCAAAAAACTCCTGTTCGGAATTACCCCCCTAAAATACCTTCTAGTAAAAATGGAATAACCCAGATATTTTTTACAATTTTTCGTAATTTTTTCTGCAAATGCATTCTACAGTGGATAATACACATAATATATATAGAATCATAGCATAGATGTGCAGTACAGCCAAGCTAACTACATTTTTTGATGGGGGTGTTTGGAAATAGACGTACTGACTCTAAGCTTAGAAAATTGTTGAGCCTAAAAATCTCTGGATTCGGATGGTAATGAAAAAAATCCTCTAACTTCAAAGTAGGCCTACACATAATTCATAAGTTCATAAGAAATAGGTGATTTCTTACCCGTCTACCATACCCTTCCAAAGTAATTAATTTACTGATTTACTGGAGAAAACATCAAGCATTGGGAAAAGTTAATTTTTTTAATTTTCGAAAATGTGTTTTCTCTGTAAGAACTGCTAACTTTATTTTCGATATAGCGATATAAAGCGCCATCTTACGGCAATTTTGGCGTCGTGGCCTTATCTGATTGGTTGAAATTCGGCATGAAATTGGAAGGTAAGAAAAATAATTTTCTCTGCATTTTCTAGAATATTTACGTAACAAGTATGTATTTATGATGATTTTGAAATCTCTTAGCCAAATTGTTAGTCGAAAAGTTCATATGAAAAATATTTCTCTGATCGTCTTTCGTGATGAGACGAAAATAATGATTTTGCAAATAGGGGGCCTAATAGTCTACTTTTGGAAAATCTGTGTTTGTTGTCTCATTTCTCAGTGTTCTCTTTCAACTTGAAAGGTTTAAAATTCAAGTCTCTTAGTTTTTTCAACTTCAAAATTTGAATGGTACTGTAGCTGTAAGCTAAACCTTCAGTCTCAGTAGCCGACCTCAATAAATTCCTGAATCATAGAATGCCCATGCCTGAATTTGGCGTCATCGTCACGATCTCACAATTGTACGCAAGCACACAAAGCATGGAATATCCTCAAGTGGAGACTGCACTTTAACTGAAGAAGATGTAATCAAGCTTCAAACCCTTGGCCTTGTAACCCCCCTCAAATTGCATACACCACCGCCCGATCACCCAATGTAAAGTAGATACAGGTTACTCACTTCGAGAGCCATGTTAGATTTTGAAACTTATGGCTTTCAAACGGAGAAGTGAACAGCTGATCAATAGTGACCTTTGAAATTGAATTAAGTCGATCCGCGGCTTACTTTTGGTCTCTAACTGTGTCTTACATCAGTATCATCAATCCGTGTAAGTATTGGAGCGCTGGAGTACTTCTTTTTCGATCAAGACTTGTAAATTGTTCATCGAGTTAAAGTTTTACAGACCTATTTCCAATATGGCGGTTTGCTAGGTGCGAGATACGCAACGAACGAAATGAATTTTGAGAATTAGTTAGGTTCGGACAACCTCCGGAGATTTACGAAAATGTCCGAGCAGAAACCGCCATATTGGAATTTGGCAGTAAAACGATTCACTCGACTAACAATTACAAGTCTTGATCGAAAAAGAAGTACTCCAGCGCTCCAATACTTACACGGATTGATGATACTGATGTAAGACACAGTTAGAGACCAAAAGCAAGCCGCGGATCGACTTAATTCGATTTCAAAGGTCACGATCATTGAGCTGTCCAAATGCTCCGTGGGAAAGCTATTATATCAAAATCCAAATAGCTTTCGCAGGAAGTAAGATACAGGTACCTGCTGGTACCTGCAAGCGGGTCCAGAGACTTGAACCAAGACTTAATTAGATTTGAGATAAGTGCGGATGAATTAAACAAAATCTCAAATGTATCCTTTTAATGGGGCTTTGTCCACACTTCCACAGGCATGGTTACAGAGAGTAGAGTTGCCCATAAGCCCATGAGTTGCCCCAGTAAAATCCCCTTCCATCATCTGACTTAAAGTCTCACCCATTCTATTCTATACCTCAATTTATCCCTGATAATTCTCTCAAATTTACATTAATAAATGTAAGTTTATCTTGTTGAAGAATCGATCAGTATGCAAAATGTAAATAGATGATCCGAGAATTGGTTAAGCTACATGTTCATGTGTCGTTTACCATAGACCTTACAGATATAGTTTATAGAGGTCCATGCTTTTACTAAGCTGTCCACAGTCATTTGTTTCTCTGGTAACTTTCATTTCAATTGAAGAGCCATAGTCTCATTCTCTGCTCCCCAACACTTCAGTTTTAAGCATCCTCATCTCAGTCTCTGTTATACCAATCATCTCAATCTTTAGGGCATATTGTTTCAGTCTCTGAAGCATCAAGTTTCAATGTTGAATTCAACACTGATGGCTTTATATCCAGCTATTGAAATCAATATGCATGGACAGTGCAAGACTGGGTGGATCCGTAAGCGTCTCCTGTTCCGACCATTATGGCACCCATAATGTTTACTTTGTTGATTTACTAAAAATTGTTGGCGGCACTGTGTCAGAATGGGAAAAAGATTGGTTGCTGATATCTGCATTTGAAATGATGAATGGGATTGTGAAGGAAGTGTATAGGGCTTCCCTTGAGCCTAAGAGCTATCATAAGTTCACAGTGATATTTTTGAGAGTACATTTTCTAAGAACATGCTTAGTATGCCATATTTGCTGAATCTTATTTTTTGTTTTAGATTTGGGATTCAGTTGACCCTCTCAAAAAATATATATAGGAAATAAATACGCACAAAGTAATGATATCACACTCTCCTTAAAATTCGAGGCATTTTACCTTGACGCAACAAAGATCAACTTTCACGAAATATCTCTGACATCACCAGACCTTCCTTATAATACAGGAACAAGTCAATACACCATTTGAAAGATGAGAGTCATAAGAATACTCTGTGTATTTTCCTGCATGCTACTTGCCATTGGACATGTTCATGCCTCCAAGAAATGTGACATATGCAATGAGATGGTGAAAAAATTTAATGAGGTGAGGATTTTTCATTTGATATTGTCTTTCCATCCTGTGTATTCTATTATTATTGGAACTTGCAATGTCAGCATGTGTAAATAGCTGGATTAAATCAATATGTTTTGTACACAATTGTATAGTGTGTATTAAACACACTTTGAATCAACAATTGACAAAAGAATATAGATGAAACTATTCCATTTTTACTGCATTTATTTTATCTTTGATTATTATTAGTTTTATGACCAATCATCACTATACAGTTTTGCTATGATAACACCAACCAGTTGTGACACATTAGTCACCATTTTTATTTAACTTATTTTGTCCAGTCATTGCAGTCTGAATCTGTAACAAATTGTTACAATTTTGTAACCAAATGCAATAATCATTGTAGACATTTTGTTTTTCATTTTCTAGGGTATAGTCAAAACAGCGAAATCCAATTTTGGTGGTGGAAATACTCATTGGGAAGAAAAAAGTCTTGGAAGTTGGGCTCATAGGTTAGATAATTAATTTGCAAAGATTAATTAGCCGTACAAATAAGCAAGATTTATCAGCAGAATATTTAGCCAGATTAGGCAACAGATTTTTCATTCTACTCTAACGACTATCTGCAAATTCTGATATGGAAAAAAATGGATAAGGCATGACTTCAGATTCTACGAAGCTATCTGCCAACCTAAAAATTTTGAGTAAAATTAAAACAACATTTTGGGTGAAAATGTTGAATAAATTTGAAAATGGTGAAAATGCTTTATATTGGGTGAATTGACTTTTTCAGTGAAACCAGGTTTGTAGAGATAATGGAGAGCAGTTGTGGAGATGACAAGGGGGTAAGTGACATTATTTCTTCATATTGACAAGGGGGTAAGTAACATTATTTTATTGTATTCACCATTAATTGATTACTGTAGATACACTAAATTTGACGCTGCTTAATTTTGGCGGATTTGCTCAATTTCAATTATTGGTGGCTTTTTGGTGGATATCATTGATCTAGTAATAAGCATTTCATATTCATGTGTTCTACTTACTTAAGTCTTGGTATTACACTGACATCCAATTAGGAATACTTACACAAGTGAAATAATTCCAAATTGCAAATTCCCTGGGGTTTTCCAAAATAGATTTGAAAATTGGCGGATTTTTTTAATCCACCAATCTGTCAAGTTAAAACCGTAGCCAAATTAAGTGTATCTACAGTAGTCAAGAGTACATGTACTTCAGTGTCTTTGTTTGTGTTACAAACGATTGTATGTATTACAGGGCTATTCAGTCTTAGACAATGTCATATGTGTTACAGTGCCATTCTGTGTCACACATTCAAAGTGTTACTTTGTCACAATGCATTTCTTTGCATGGTAGTGCTATTATAAGTGTCAGAGTATTACTCTGTGCCATAATATTGTTGCAATCTCATTATGTGTATTATGGTGTCATTCTTAATGCTAGTTTCATTTTATGTTTTACTATGTATTTTTTGTGTTGCACTATCATTCTTTGTCTTACAAAGTTACAGTATCATGACTGTGTTACAGTGCCATTTTTATGTAACAATTCCATTCTATGTGCTAAAGTGTAATTCTAAGTGTTGCAGTAGTGTTATTCTATGTATTACATTCCCATTTAATGTGTTAAAGTGCTATTATCTGTGTTTACGTACCATTCCTCATGTCAAAGTACCATTTTATTTGCCACATTGTCATCCTGAGTTACAATATCATTCTACTATAGTTACAGTGTCATTCTATGTGTCAAAGTCCAATTTTATGTGTTCTAATATCATTCTTTGTGAATTAGTGTCATCCTAAGTGTTACCATGTCATTTTATGTGTTACAGTGCCATTCTATGTGTTACAGTGCCATTCTTTGTGTTACAGTGCCATTCTATTGTAACAGTGCCATTCTATGTGTAACAGTGCCATTCTATGTGTTACAGTGCCATTATTTGTGTTACAGTGCCATTCTATGTGTTACAGTGCCATTCTATGTGTTACAATGCCATTCTATGTGTTACAGTGCCATTCTATGTGTTGCAGTGCCATTCATTGTGTTACAGTGCCATTCTATGTGTTACAGTGCCATTCTATGTGTAACAGTGCCATTCTATGTGTAACAGTGTCATTCTATGTGTTACAGTGTCATTCTTTGTGTTACAGTGCCATTCTATGTGTTACAGTGCCATTCTTTGTGTTACAGTGCCATTCTATGTGTAAAAGTGCCATTCTATGTGTTACAGTGCCATTCTATGTGTTACAGTGCCATTCTATGTGTAACAGTGCCATTCTATGTGTAACAGTGTCATTCTATGTGTTACAGTGCCATTCTTTGTGTTACAGTGCCATTCTATGTGTTACAGTGCCATTCTTTGTGTTACAGTGTCATTCTATGTGTTACAGTGCCATTCTTTGGGTTACAGTGCCATTCTATGTGTTACAGTGCCATTCTTTGTGTTACAGTGCCATTCTATGTGTAACAGTGCCATTCTATGTGTTGCAGTGCCATTCATTGTGTTACAGTGCCATTATATGTGTTACAGTGCCATTCTATGTGTAACAGTGCCATTCTATGTGTAACAGTGTCATTCTATGTGTTACAGTGCCATTCTTTGTGTTACAGTGCCATTCTATGTGTTACAGTGCCATTCTTTGTGTTACAGTGCCATTCTATGTGTAACAGTGTCATTCTATGTGTTACAGTGCCATTCTATGTGTTACAGTGCCATTCTATGGTGGAGGAACATGAAGAGTCACTGGAAGACTGGTGGTTCAAACATTATGCCAAAAATACCAAAAAGGATCTCAAGGAGTATTTCTGTATAGAAAATGTTAAAGGTAAGAATACTTCTTAAAGTATCTTACATTGATTTATTTTCCAGCATTCAGTCCATGAATGAATTTTGATTAATCCATCCATATGGAGTCTGCCAATGGATATGTCTGTCTAGTTTCATAACTCAAATATTTTGTTTGCGTTGAGATGTTGTTGGAGCTACCATTGTTGTGGCCTATATTGAGGCATTATCATCTGTACCATTTGTTCTTACACTTGCAATATGGTGCATTCTAAGCATTTCAAACTATTATCTGCTAAATGTTTTTTCAATAAATTTTCCAAGATTGCTTTTTTCATTTTTTGTGTGGGGGGTGCACCCATGGCTACATCCATGAGGTGATATATGTAATATAAACTGTATGTTTGTTATAGTGTGCTGTCCAGAGAACACATATGGTAAACAGTGCAAGGAATGTGCAGGAGGAGTTAAACAGCCATGTATGAGCAATGGTAACTGTGATGTGAGTCTTTAGTCTTTAGCTTTCCCATAATTCATCAAATTCTGCTTTTATTGATTTAAAAGAGGTCATATAGAGCAAGTGATTTTTGAAATCAACTTAAGTTTCAAAAAATTAATTACAGTAAAACCTGTTCGTTGGAACACATTTCTCCATTGAGTTACATGTTAACAGACCCTCTCTGGAAGGAACACCTATCAACTGTGAACAAGGAACACTTTTTTCAGAGCTGTGAATGACTTAAGTCAATATCTAACTCTAAAATGTTTTGGCTAAATATGAATGAGATTAGGATAAGTCAATTATGAACATCCCACCCAACTAATATTGAATGAAGATCCAATAATGAATTTTCTGCTTTGTAGGGAGCTGGCACACGAGAGGGCACTGGGAAGTGTAATTGCAACTCAGGCTACAAGGGTGATACATGCAATGAGTGTAAAGATGGATTCTTTGAACAGGAAAAGAATGATACCTACATACAATGCACAGGTACTCTTTCTATTGATAGTTTCCATAGATGTTTATAAAATGCCAATTATGCCCTAAAAAGAAAGAACAGTAAACTTATGACCTTGAGTAGGTTTTAGAATTTTTTGTGTTAAAGTACCTGGTATATGTACATGCATTAGACAGATTGATGACTTCTATTTTAGGTAAACTTTCTTTCCAATTTGCATGTTCATTGGATGGTATATTTTTTTGGGGGAGCAAATTTTAACCATAAATGAAAGGATTTTTCAAGTGAAATTACAATGTACAGTGATATTTTAACAGTACATGTATTATAAATTACATATGTGAATTTGCAGCGTGTCATGCATCTTGTGCTAACACATGTTGGGAGGAGGGTCCTAAAGGTTGTGATGAATGTGCTAAAGGCTGGGAAGCTAATGAAGAAGAAGGTTGTCAAGGTAATAGACTTTAAATGACCAATTTACTCTACTTGACTGTAGATTTAAAAAGGTTATGTAAGTGTAGTAAAAAAGGGTCAGCATATTAATTTAAAATGCTGATTGAAATTTTACAGGTTCATCTCTATTAAGTTCTCTTATTAAGTTTTCTTCGGTTTAAAATTAAGAGTTTTTAGACCTTTGTATATCTAATCCAAATACTTATAGGATATCCTATGATTTTGAGGAATATCATTTTTATCTACGAGGTGATATTGATATCTGCACGAGAGAGCAAAGCGAACGAGTGTATGTATCAATATCACCGAGTAGATTAAAATGATATTCTGAAAAAAACATAGGATGTTCTTATTATCCTACACTTACAAGGAGTGTACTAAATGTATAATATCATTGCAAAATGAATTTCATGCCAAATAGCTAGAGTCAATTTGGCGGGAAATCAACAAGCAGAGTATATCGTCACAATATTCTCCGCATATTGGGTTTTCCAGAGTATATCGTCACGATATCCTCCACCCGGAGTATATCATCACGATATCCTCCGGTTATTCATTTTGCCAATAAATATCAAATTTATTTTTTGATGTGTTATTATACATTTAGCACACTAAGTGTAGGATAATTCTCAATATGAACACTTTTTTAAGTCCCAAATTTGTAATCTCTCATTCTCTCAAATATTTAAAAAACCTGAAATGTGTTCTCATAAGACAAGTTTTACTGTAAAAATGTACCCACATTGTCACTTCTCTCTTTACCTGCAGATATTGACGAGTGTGCTGATGCAACGCCCCCCTGCAAAGAAGATGAGTTTTGCACAAACACTGCAGGGTCCTATAATTGCTCAAAGTGTAACAAGGCTTGTGATAACTGTCTAGGAGGAGGCCCAGATAAATGTGTGAAATGTGCTCAAGGATATACCATGGAGGAAAATAACACATGTTTGGGTGGGTTGGCGCCTTGGCGGTATATTAAGCTGATTTAATATGATTTTAAAAGAATTTGACTAGGGACTTGACTCATTCGTAGAATTTATTTCACCTCTCACATATAAAACATAAACTCTTGTTGTGGCTTTGCTGCATTATCGTTTTATTAGCCAATTGCCTTGACGGTTGGCGTCTGTAACAAATTCTTAAAACTTCCAATAACTTAACAAATACTGTTTAGACTGACTTCAATTATTTTCCAAATCTTCTACAAGTTTTAGAAGTTCAAATCTGGCTTTACATTTAAGATTTGACCTTCAGTGACCTTTTCAAGGTAAAAAAAGGTCAAAAAGGTCTTTTTTTCAACTTGCTTCAAATTGGCCAATTTTTTCAAAATCATCTACAAATCTAACTTTAGATTTGAGATTTCACCTTCAATGACTTTCTCAGGGTCAAAAATCAAATCAAAAATTATATTCTCTTGAGAATGAGTGTATCAGTATGTCATTTCATTGCAATCTTTAAATTTTGTACACATGTTTTACCTTGTAGATGTTGATGAGTGTGCTAAAGACCCTACTCTATGCCAGGGAGATGACAACATGCAATGTCGCAATGACCCAGGGACCTACACATGTATATGTATAGGAGATTATGAATATAAACATGGGAAGTGTGAAAAAATAAAAGGTACGTTGACCAAAATTGAAAAGCTATAAGATGAATTCTTGAAGTATCATTTTTCCGTTTATTGATGGAATTATTTTATTTGAATCAGAATTTAACATACTACCATCTTTCTTTAAAACATTTGGATTAATCCAATGTGTATTAGTAGCCTATATATAATTGTTCCATTAAGTCTGTACAATATTGATTGAGCCAATAAAATCAAAAGTACATTACTAAAACACTGTAAATGAATAAAAAATGAAATTTCTCATTAACTTCATTAACTATCCAGAGAGCATGTATTACATCAAATGAAACCTTGTATGAAAGTGATATACGTTTTGATATATGTGTACCCCCAAAAAACACTCTTATATTAAAAAGCACTTGAATAAACAATTTTCTTTTGAATATTTACATATAAAAACACAGCTACCTTAAAAAAAAAATTAAGAATTTTTTGATCCCTGTTATATTAAAAAGTACTTGAATAAACAAATTTCTTTTGAATATCTACATATAAAAACATAATTATCTTAAAATTTTTTGAGAATTTTTAATCACAAAAAGACAATGAGCACTATAACTATGAAAATTGTCAAAAATATCTTGCACATGAATTCGTTATAGACTTGCAGTAGATAACATAAAAAGTATATAAATTCTCTCATTTGCTCTTCTTCGTTTGTTCCAGAAAAACCAAAAAGTGAAAAATCAAAGAAAAAGAGCAAGAAAAAGATAAATGAGGAAATCAACTATGAGACATTAAAATTTATTGGCTTAGTTTTATTGTATGGACTTTGTGGAAAATTCCTGAAGGGAAGAATTATACCAGTTACAATATTATTTCTGGCAATGTGGACTTCTTTATATGCATTTTGTGAACGATTTGATATAGCTGTTAAAGCATTGGGAGCAGCTACAAGTTAGCTGGGAAAGTAAGACTGATGTCGTGAAATTGAACACCTATCTAAAATGAACACCTCAGTATGTATGGTTTAAGTTGGTTACAGGTGTTCATTTTGGATAGGTTTTACTGTACATGCAGTCTTCCTAGATGGAATATTAATTTGTTCTTAATTAGGGACACACTCTGTGTAAAATCATTCTCTTCTACTGTAATTGTTGTTTTTCGAATCAAAGTGGCAGTTAGAATAGAGAGCGTAAAATTTTGAAAGCAACATTTTCTAGAACATGGAAGTTCTTGAAGATTCAACAGAATTGAAAGAGGATGTCAATTTTTTCAAATTTTTCATTATTGCCAATTTTTCATTACTGCCAAATGACCTTATTCTCAAAGCATTGTCATGAAATAAAATTAGAATAGAATTTTTCAAAATAATTATGAAATTTTGTAAATATAATGACCATTCTTTATAAGGAAGCTACTCTCAACTTATCTCTTATCTTTTATGCACCTTTAATAAATCATGTTGTGTCCATTCTATTGATGGGAGAAAAAGTACTTCATGAGATTGAAATGATTTTTTATAAATATTTATTATGTTACCATCACAAATGGTGACATATTGTTATAGTCTCCAACTTTTTGGAGGATGGTGTTGGCAGTCTTTGTCCATAACATATGGCAGGTAGTGACATTTTGCATGTTAATGCCTTATTTACTCTGGGATGTTTATCAAATGTAGTATGAAAAGCCAAAGGGTATGAATATGGTACTGAAGATTGCAGAAATGTGCAATAATATCTTTGAATTTACACTTTATGCCCTGTATTTTGGCGTATGCATTACAAACATTGTTTCATACAGATTATGTATAGTAGTTAAATGTGTGTTTTGTCTTAGAAGTTCACCGTTTATAGTGACCTGAGTGCACAATTGTTGTTAGCATCCTGAAATTAGAGATCCAATTGGCTGAAATGGACCGAAATTCTATTTGATTATTTCTTCGGCTTTTATTCAGCATATCAGGCTCGATTCTCTAGTACTGGGGAAAGAAAAGGGGTTGATCACTGACTTGAAGCTTTTTACTCGTATAGTCTTGTATTAAGACCCTTATATTACATACCCACCTATTCCTCCCTCACAGCAGGAAACTAGGTCCTAATGCAAGACTAGATGCTTCATTATCCATTGGCTGAATTATATGAGTAAAAGATATACTAGTAAAGGGCACTACATGATAGTACTATGGGGTCACAAATGTCACTCATAATTGTTGTTTAGTTAAGGTGTATTAAAAGCACATGTAAGATCTGATATTTTTGTAATAAAATTTGAAAAAAATGAAATTTTCTTTTGATATTTATCCTGCAAATATTCTAGTTTAAGTCTAATTCATCTTTGGCAAATATATTCCACTACATGTATATATATTCCAATATTATATTTTCAAAACTCATTATCAACCAGTAAAGGACTCACGCATTTCATTCGCTGTCAGATTAAACTGAAATATTAACCTCCGCTTATTTTGTCATATTTAAGAGGTAAAATAACATTCAATACCATTCCGTTCTCACCCTCCTCCCAAAACTTGACCAGTTCAGAATAGAGTTTTCTCATGAAAGATTCTTTTTTCATCCCTAGTAATGTTTTATTTTGGTTAAGATTTATCTTGTATTTGTGAATCACCAAATTAAAGCAGGAACATATTAACCCAATATACATTCTGTTGATTTAGTCACCTGGTCTCTATTGATGGGTATAATGTACAAATATAATTTTATAGGTGACGATGATGACGAGGATGGTGACGACGATGATGAAGAGGACAATGAAGATGAAGACGACGAAGACAGCAATCCTGATGAAGATAATTTACAGGAAAATGATGACAAAACCGTAGACATTGATAATAAGAAGGATATTGAAATACCAGCTGATAATACAAAAACAGAAGAGAATCCTAAAAATACAAAAGACAATAATGCAAATGAAGATATTAAAAAAATAAAGAATGATGAACTCTGACCCAATTAAGACTATAGGTACAAATACACAATTATCCATAGCCATAAGGAAGGTATCAAAAATTAATGTACACCCAAAAATGAAACATCTTGCCAAATGAAACATCATATCTCATTCCTTTCACTTTACTGCACTCACTTATGAGTAGTAGAGCACTTGCAAGGACTTCCTTAGGGTCTTGTTATTAATCTTCAAATGATAAAACCATTTGGGTATATATTAACATTTTGATATAATACCTTATAATGCAATAATGAAGATGTCATGATAATTGAACTTTAATCATTGTTCATGTGTGACCAAAAACTAGTGTTTAATTATGTATTTATTGAGGAAATATATGATAATGTATGAAGTTGGCTGGCATGATATCTTCATTTAAATTTTTATAATCATTCCACACATCCATTCTTGGAATGTTAACAATCAAATTGGGTCAAAATCTCCACTTTATGTTTCTTGATTTGTGTTAATAATTGAGAAGATAAAGAATGTCTTTGATTTTATTGTAACAATAGAGTCATTTGAAAAATGAACCACACTTCCATACAAATGTTGCATTTGTAAATGCAGCTCATTTTCATCATATTTCATACATTTAGATGTTTGATAAAGTCACTCATATTGTATTTTAATTGATATTTTTGATATTCTTTGTGTGGTTACTTGTACATGTTGTATTACAGGCCCAAAGCCAGTCAGCCAGTGGGGAGTTTTGGGGATTCTATCCAAAAAAATATTTTAAAATCATGCAGTTTTTTACCCAATCTGAGCACATTTTTGAGGAATTTTGGGAAAAAGCTGGCTATGGGCCTGCATAAGGATGATTGCTGTGTTATTGCTGTTTAGAGGTTTTTGCATTGTCATGGTCAGTCTCATACTGTAAGTATAATCCAAGACAACATTGAATAAACTCACCATGGCAATTATTACTCATCATTCAGCTGAAATCCTGAATTTCATAGGTGATGATTGGGATCCTGATCTGCTGTATAGGTTTCACTATTTATATAGCTTGGGATGATTTTATTGTGGTACCAATTTACGCTTGCTTTGACAAGCCTTATGTCCAATGCATTCAGAGATGTCAAACAAACAAGCAAACAAAAATTACTGTTAATTTTTTGATATCCTGAAATGTTAGTTCAACCGGATTCAAGATTTCACAATAAGTTGCATTTTTGGACTTCATAAACCCTAGACATGAATGTACAGCTTTCCAATTTTCTTGATATTTAAGTAAAAAATATTATGTAGAGATTTTCCTCTGGTTCTGGGAGATGTGATAATTAATGTTGATAATGTGAAATACATTTGAAATATAGTTGAAATCAAATGTTTTCACAATATAAATACGTAGTTGTTTGTTTACTATGATTTGATTATAAAAATCCTGAGACTAAGTACCTAGAGATGATCATAAATATTATCAATGAATTTGTTCTCTTGGGTGATGATGATGACTGAAAGAGAGGACAGATCTCTAGAAAATTGAGAAATGTTGGGGAAGGGAAAATTGTTTTAAGGTACAGCTGGAAAATAACATTTTGGTAAAAAATTGCTATACCTGCACATGTTATTTTCTGGTACAAAATAAAGTATGAAGACATGTGTCAAATTCCTTGCTTTTTTCAGGAAAGTATCATCACATTGTCTTCTTTTACACTGGTAGGAGTTCAATGGGAACTCCAGGAAATTCTGATATTTTACACTTTCCATTTTTCCAAATTTTCTTTCAAAGTTTTCAGACAACACAGGAGCTACCATTGCTCAAAGTAAAAGTGACCATATTTCCAGATATTAGATGAAAGTTAAATGTGTGACTTGATAATTTTCTAGTAATGGGTGATTAGATTTGTTGAAAGTAATGGGTGACCAGATTTGCTGAAAGCAATAGGTGACCAGCCTAAAATTGGTTCCCAGATTTGTTGAAAATATCCATCACTTTCTGAAAGTGATGGATATTTTGCTAAACTTAATGTTTTGAAAAGATTTTGAATTAATATGTGACAAAATTTGTTTTTTCTGAGAATAAAGGGTGTACAGATTTGCTGAAGGCAATGGGAAACCAGATTTACTGAAATTAACGCCTGAGCAGTTTTGTTGAAAGTAATGGGTGACCAGATTTACTGAAATTAACACCCGAGCAGTTTTGTTGAAAGTAATGGGTGACCAAATTTACTGAAATTAATGCCTGAACAGTTTCTTGAAAGTAATGGGTAACCAGGTTTACTGAAATTAATCCCTGAGCAATTGTTGAAAGCAATGGGTGACCAGATTTACTGAAATTAACGCCTGAACAGTTTTGTTGGAAGTAATGGGTGACCAAATTTACTGAAATCAATGCCTGAACAGTTTTGTTGAAAGCAATGGGTGACCAGATTTACTGAAATTAATGCCTGATGAGTTTGTTGAAATTAGTGGGTGGCCAGATTAGCTGAACGAATTGGACTGGCAGATTTGCAGTTAATAATGTGTGACCAGATTAGTTAAAATAATGGGTGACCATGTTTACTGAAAGTAATGGGTGACCTCCAGATTTACTGATTTTAATGCCTGAACAGTTTTGTTGAAAGTAATGGGTGACCATATATACTTAAATTAATGCCTGAATAGTTTTGTTGAAAGTAATGGGCGACCAGATTTACTGAAAATAATGCTCGAACAGTTTTGTTCAGAGTAATGGGTGCAGACCAGATTAGCTGAAAGAAATGGGCTTGCAGATATTCAGTGAAGAAGACGTGAGAAGATGAGTTGAAAGTAATCGGTGACTGTGGCCATGTTTGCTAAAACTAATGGTTGACCAGATTTTTTTAAAGTAATGAACAAATGAACATCAAAGTAAAGTCTAGTGACATTATTAAAGCGCAACAACAAAGCATATATGTCGACAACATGGGTAAAAAATTAGTCAAAAGTAATGGGTGACCAGGTTTAATAAAAGCAAAAGGGTACATGTACATAATCTGTACCAGAATTGGGTGGGTGACCAGATTTGATGAAAGTAGTGGGCTGGCTATCATATTTGGGTGCGTGACTTAGGCTTAGATTCGCTTACAGTAATGAGTGACCAGATTTGTTAATTCTTGACCAGATTTTATGTAGATATTGGGTGCTTGAAAGAGATGGGTGAAAGACTTCATCCAAGGATTTAGAACAGATAGATCATCTTAAACAAACAAATTGACAAGTCCCTTTAACTTTACGTGGCGTGTCATGACACTAAAACCGGAAGTCCGACAAATTTGGTTATTTATTTACTTTTTGTATATTATGGCATATCTGTTGTTTATACATAGTTAGCATGGATTCAAATGATAAAACTTATCCTTAAAGGTACATATATCACATTCGTTTAAAATCGAATTGATAAAGGTGACCGTTTTGACTTTTATTTGTGCTGACTTTACGCAATTGTTTTTCACATATTTTTAGTTGCACTCATTGTAGCTTGCAGTAAGATTGAATTCAATATACGGTGATATGGAGTATCAGTCTAAATATCCCCTGCAGCTGGCGAATGTACCCCCTGAATTATGTACTTTTGTGACATGTCAGATTGAACAGGGATACAGAAACTAGAGTAAGGAATAAAGAGATGCAGTGCATCGATGCTATACTCTTGGAGTACTACCAATAGGTTGTAAGCTCTCTATGTATTTCAATTCATAAAATTCATACACATTATAATATACCATGGAGTTCACAGCTGATTCACCCGAACGTCACATCTTCACAGAGAGCCATGCAAAGTCTATTCTAACCACAATGAATAATTTACGTAAGACTGGTGCACTTTGTGACATCACACTTAAGGTTGGCAGTCAGGAGTTTTTGGCGCATCGCATTGTTCTAGCTGCATGCAGTGATTACTTCTGTGCCATGTTCACTAATGAGGTATGTTCAATAACATCAATTTTGTATGTAGTGCAAATGCTAAGTAAAGGAGCAATTAAGCTGTACGATCTTTGACTATTTGCTGTTACAATAAATGTTTTTCTTGCATCTGTTTTTGAAAATATAGATAATAGCTTTGTATGTTCTTTGCTAAGAGTGATATGAAAAAATCAGTTCTGGACAGAATGATCTTTTGCTCATCAGCAAAGGATTTATTTTCCGATCTGATTCAAATGTGTACACTCATACCAATGATCCACCAGTTGGCACATGAATATTACTGTATTTCTGTATGATATGCATCTAAGTTGGGCCTGTCATGTTGCATGTAAAAGTGCCAAGTTTTAAAAAAATAACATTTCTGTTCATTTCTATTTAGATGGCAGAGAAAGGCAAGTCCAGCATAGAGCTTCATGGTTTATCACCAAAGGTGATGAGTGTACTTTTAGAATTTGTCTATACTGAATCTGTGAACGTCACAGTGGAAAATGTGCAAGAACTTCTCCCTGCGGCATGTTTACTTCAGTTGTCAGGTAAGTTTTTTCATCCAGACTTAATATACTAAAATTGTATAACATTTAGGAGGGATTTTGCAGGCTCATTTTGACAATATTATTAGCATAGAGCTAATAAGATTGACTAAGTGTTTTAAATAATATGGTATGCTTGAACGTTTTATAAAGGGTTGTATACTGGCATATCCTACCTCCTCCTTAAGTGCAATGGATTAACTTGAATCAGCTCCATGTAGAACAAATAAATGCTTGAATAACATATATAATTCCAATTTCCAAGAAAGTTGTCGAAGCCCTTATAAAACATGTGAAATTATTTTGATTCATCTTCAGATGTCACCTAAATGATTGTTTTTTCTGTTTCAGGTGTGAAGCAAGCTTGTGCGGATTTCTTAGAAAGACAATTAGATCCATCCAACTGTTTAGGAATTAAAATATTTGCTGAGAATCACTCCTGCGGGACGCTCTTAGAAGCAGCTCAGGAATACACTTGTAAATATTTTGATTACGTCATCAGTCATGAAGAGTTTCTCTCACTCAGTGCAGATAACCTGGAAAAACTAGTACAAAGTGATGAAATACAGGTGGGTTATTGGAAGCAAGCTATTTATCAAATTGTAACAACTTTCAAATCATGATTGACCATTCATAAGTGATATCCTGCACATACTGAACACTTTTTTGTTCTCAGTTATAATTTTGATGTCTTTTATTGTCTTGTATATTAAGAAAACCTTGAAATGTGAACACCCGCATTGTACTAATCTATCACCTTTTGTTGGTCCCAGTGGCATTGAATAAGACAACTCCAATTGTGATAAACATATGCACAATTAACATTTACTCTGTCTGTGTTAAGATTAAATAACATTGATAGAAGTGGACATTTTATTTAGAATCTTAATGTATCGATTCCGTTTCAAGGTTGAATCTGAGGAAACAGTGTTTGAAGCTATCATAGAATGGGTGAGCTGTG